ATATACAAATCATTAAGAGTTTTGGATTCCTGTGGAACAAATAGAAGCTCCCACATTTTTTTTGATGTTTCAAAATTTTATGTATTTGTATTTCCTGCATCATTTGAGTTTTGTATAGTAAGCTCCTGTAACTTTTTTTTGCAAAAAATGCAGAACAACTTAAAAAATAGATTTGAAGAAAAATACATAAAGATATTAACTTTGGGAATGGTGGGAATATGGATGATGGCTTATCTTCTTCCTTACGTATTTTTCTTTTTTCTTAAAAAATCTGTTAAAATTAAAGTATCACTGATATACAATCTCATGTTGCTTTCAAATATACAACACTGTGTTCAGCAGTTGCCCGTATTATCAAATCCTCTCCCACTCCAGTGCAGTCACTATCTATCAACATAGTAAGATGTTACAGAGTCATTAACTGTATTCTCTGTGCTGTACTACCGACCCCATGAAAACCCTATGTTGTGATTGTGAATTATTATTCCCTTGATCCCAATCCCTCCCGCCACCCTGCTGAACCCCTCCCCCTTAGTAACCACTAGTTCATTCTCGGTGTCTGTGAGTTTACTGCTATTTTGTTCCTTCTGTTTTGCTTTGTTTTTATACTCTACAAATAAGTGAAATCATTTGATATTTGTCTTTCTTCACCTGGCTTATTTCATTGAGCATAATGCTCTCTAGATCCATCCATGTTGTTGCAAATGGGAGAATGGCTGAATAATATTCCATTGTGTATATGTACCACATAGAAGCTCCCACTTTTTACATTGGCTAATGTTGCTTTTCTCTTTTAAGGTACATACAAAACTTCATTACCTCAAAAGGCAGAGAACATGAAGCTGCTTGGCAGATGGGTTTCACTGCCATTTTGAACAAAGTGCTGGTCTGCTGTTTTGCTGTGTGGACAGCACCTTCCTTTCTTTCATGCTGGCCGGCCAATACCCTGCCTTGGTATGCCTGCAACTCCTTCCTGAAGTGGACAAACGCTTCTGTCCCACTCCAGGAGGCCCAGTGACCTGTCTCAGTGCACTCTAGCTGTGAGCTGTAGGGGAGGAAGGTGGGCGTGGAGAGAGCCAGAGACCTGCTCCTCCAGGAGCTAAGACACCCTGTGTCATCCCCTGACTCTGCTGCTGGGCCTGAGGGCCTGATAAGGTTCAGAGGCAGATGCTGGGACCCGTGGGGACTGCAGCTTGGGTCCCTCAGGGGAGAACTGGCTCCCACCTGATTTACATGTGGGCTTCAAAGATTTTTTTGGGTGGAGGGCAAGAGGGTTCAGTTGGTTAAAAATCACAAGGAAGACCCTAACCTGGATGATAGGAATTTCAGAATTCTGCACACATTCCCCAGAGGACACAGGACACAGGTGGGAGCAGCTGAGAGCCACTCAGTGCAGCCACTTCTGGCCTGCCCTCCTAAGAGCCATTCCCAGAAGCCCTGCTCCCACCCTGCTTCTCCACGGAGGGACAGGCCACTTGCTCACTCAAGGTCATGTCTTTAAAGAGTGTTGGTGCTAAGACTCAAGAGTGGGAGCAGGGCCTCCAGGGCCTTCCCCTGTCCACTGTGCCCCTACCCAAACCAACTGCTTGGGGTACTCTCACCTGGGAGGAGAGGAAACCAGACCTCCTGCTCGACATGCAATTCTGGTAAACTGTCAAGTTAGGAAGTATCGGTGGTAATGATAGAGCAATGACCAACAGATCAGAATGCTTTCATGTTTCTCATTAAGCTTTTTATCCTCTTCTCCTTAAAAATTCTAGCAAAATACAATTTTAACAGAGCTAATTAAAGAAAAGAGTAACATATTCTCATTTTCAGAAGCAAGAAGCACACAAATTAATAATTCAATTTCATTCACCAGTGATTTTGGTTTGGTATCATGCTAAGTTTTTTTTTTTTGAGGGGACAACGACAGTATGTTTCCCATTTTGTAAATAATCAAGTTGTCTACATCCTGTCATGGTCATCCCCTAAGACTGCTTTCTATCACTTCTGTGTAGATGAGCTGGATGTTAGGGCATGATGCCAATGAGTGAAAGGGTTCCTGAGTGGACCGCAGTCCGAGCAACGATTAGCTGAGGTTTTGGATGCACGCATGAGAAAATAACTGCAAGTAAGCAACTGCCAATTAACTATACAACCTCATAACAAGCTGCCCATTATCTTCCATCCCGATGGCTGCCATAGCCTCCAAAATGGTTGCACTACTTCAGATCTTGCCTCCTGGCAATCCATTCCCCACCTACAGCCTGAGTAATCCCGATAAAACATAAACAGACCACGTTAACTCCACAGCTCAGAACTCAACAAAGGCTTCCCAAGATCACTACAGACCTGGCCTGTGAGGCCATGAACATCTGGAACCAGAACACCTTTGCTAACCTCTTGTAGCAATCCTTAGCTGGAGGGGTGCCACCAGGAAACTAAGTTTCCCATAATTCAACAGAAATTCAAGGAGAAGGCAATATGAAGAGCAAAAGAACAAAAGATAAACCAAGTGTATATTCTTAGGGGAAATTTTTAACATACCTCTAAGATAAGTTTAGATTTTTCATTATAATGAGCAATCTCATGTAGACTTTTAAACATATATTCTTGTAATTTTTCCTTCTTAAAGGACTCTGAAATTAATTTTTAATAGTAGGATATATTTCGCTCAAAACTGTTTTATGTGTATCTACAGGAAAACAAACTTTAAGTCCTCAAGGAATTGAACTGTGATGCTGAAAGACTTTCTCGAAGGATTCAAACTCAAAAAAGTGCTTGATTTAGAAAATTGGTATGTGGTTACTATTAAAATACTTGATTTAGCTTTATTGTCATGATTTTACAATAATACACATTTTCTTTAAATAAAAGTTTTCTCCAAATGCACCAAGTTTTATTAGTATACAAGTCAGAGATTTGTCTTAATATTAATCTTAGTGAGGATCATCAAAATGTAAATCCAAGAACTATTCAATCTAATAATAGAAGTGATGAATGTTTCAGAGCATTATGGAATAACTGTTGCTGAAAACTGTGGGTTTTAAATTAAAAAATAGCATTTTCAGGTGGAACATTATACATCAGGTATTAATTTCCTCATGTAAGTGTAGGCTTTATTAAAATACAGCCTCATTTGACACGGACATAGACACATGTGACAACAGAACATCAGTCTTAAAACCTACTAAAAATTAAGTATTACCACTAAAAGAGCATTATGATTGTATCTGCTGGTTCCCAATTCCCTTTTTATTGATAATTAATTATGGTTTCTGATAATCATTTTTAAGTAGTCTTAACATATTTACCTGAAAATATATGTGTTCAAAGGAGAAACTGTCTCTCCAGTTTTGTTGTTTTATTAAAACTATTTATGATTTAGCTCAAAAAACTTTTCACAAATTAGGTGCTTTGGATTACTGAGCAACCTACATGGGAATTACTGTTTTTCACTGAACATGGGATACCTTATCACATGTGAGTCTGTCATGTGAAGAAAGATGATATGTAACTGATCTAGACATTTTAATTTCTCAACATATGCTAAGAATAACATTTTTGCCTAAATCAGAACCATATATGAGATGCTTTATGATTACTTTAAGGCCAAAATGACAGGACAAATTTGAGAACTTAAATACATGTCTATAAATGTGAACAACTGAAGTTGAACAGGAATGCTACTCCTGATTTCATCAGGGCCGTGCAGTTTTGGGTGACTCCTTTGATAGGTAAAATATAATAGCACACCTAACATACAGCTCTAGCTGGCTGAATCACTGCTAAGGCCCTACCCTCTCCTTCCCTACCACCTCATCTCCTTTACCCTCTCTAAGGTATTCAGAAACCACAGTTTAGTGAAGAACAGGGTGCCCACCATGCCAGAGGCCCTTGCCCCTTTCTCTAGCCAACGTGCTACCCTGAACTCCTTCTTTTAGAAATTCTAGAGATCTTACTGCTGTGCTTGTAAGATCTTACTGCTGTGCTGATAAGCCTGGAGTGCTTATCAGAAGCAAAAATCACATGAGAGGGTGCAAAGAACGGTTTCAAAAAAAGTAATTCTTATCCACCATCCAGATACAAATCCTGTAGGACAAGTGTGTTCTTCTGAAGAGAAAGGGTGGAGGCAGGCAGGTGCACACTGGGCAAGACCTACCTATCTTACACACTGCTTTTTGCATCAGCTCTTCAAGAGAAGATTCAGAGAATTAAAAAAACCTCAAGACCACTGTGCCAGGCAATGAAAACTTTGAAATATTGTGATTATCAGGCACAACCATCCCCGCCCCAAATATGCTCTTTGGCACAACTGTAACACAAATGATTTTCTGAGAAATTTAACAAATACATTTTCCTTTGAAACACGCTGAATCAAATCACCAAACCATAATATTTTAAAGAAATGTGTATTCACCAAATGAGAGAAAAAAATAATATTCATACCAGCCTTTTGCCCAAGCAATACTGTTCAGGAAAGCAGCACTGAATACTGCAGATGTGAAGTGAGCACACTTTCCTATCACATAGGAAACCTTTAGAAGTGACCCATGTAATTATGTACAGCATGCATTCTCTTTTTGTTTGAGCCAAAGGATGTGCACCGTAAGAGTAAACCAAATTCTGCCCTTTTTATTATTCCCACAGAGGCAACCATCCACTATAAAGTACTTCTTTCTACTCGTAATTTCTACTCTTTCTTTACCTGGGAAACTCCTTGTTTCTTTTGAAATGCATACAGAAAAAACTATTATCAATATTTCTTAGAGGTATGATGTCTTTCCTGATTATCTGCCTCACCAATACATTCATAAAAGCATTTCTTAAAATCTTATTACCTTTAATATTTTTAATACACGTTAATATTTTGGTATGGAAGAAAGCATTTCTGTTAAGTAGAGAGTTAGATTTGGAAGGAAGTTAATAATGAATTAACACTAATTCTCAGTAAGCAACCTCATTAAAAATGGTTCCATCTTGCACCATTAAAAAAGTTTCAATAAGGATTTATTTACCTGGGAATATTCAAAGTCAGTGATAGGGGCTATACTCTTGATATAGTCGGACCGAAATTGGTTTTCTGGGTTGGCCAGTGGAACTGGAGGTATAATAGTACTCATCGCTGAAACAATTGTCTAAAATGGAATGAAGAAAAGATATATGTGGATAAATACAACATCTGAGCTCCATCTATGATAATCTAAAATATATCATTTCTATCTACACTGTTATAGAGAGCAGAGTACTTAACTTTTCTAATAAACAAACATTAAAAAAGAAGTCCTTACCACAATAGCATCTTTAACATTTTTCCGGATGTCCAGAATTTTCTGTTTCTTTTCCCTGTGTTAAAAGAGAGTTATAATTAATTTAATTTACCTCTGGCACTGACTTGAATCAGTTGAGTGGGGATCTGAATTTCCAGCTGCAGTATGGAGCTAGAATGGTTTTACCAGAGGCCAGTATCTATCTGTAGACCAACAAATGCCAAATTTTTATCTGGGATGGGAAATCATCTCCCTTTTCTAATTTGTACTCTAAGCAAACTTGAATGCACACATTATAATCTATAGTTTTAAACAACCACATAGGTTATACAAAATGACAAAATTGTATGAATATTGTATATAAAAACTATACAGCTACACTTGCAAATAAATTTATTTGAATTATCTATATGTTGATAGTTATGAATTGAAATAGATGCAAATGATATAGAGAAAAGTATATATTGACATATTGGTTAAGGGTGCTCATAGCAATTCCAATAATACAGAGCAATACCTCAAGAATATCTAATAAATTACTTTTTGTTAAACAGATTATTTTTTGATCTAGATACTACCAGAAGATGGATTTACCAAAATATACTAAATTCAACAAAAAATTCTATTTTTTCCCCATATACTATAGTATACTAACATATACTATTATTTGGTATATTTTTAACCTAAATATACCAAATTCAACAACAAATTCTATTTTTTCCCCCTTAAAGGTCTACTCAATGATCAAATGAACCATTTAGATAAAGTACTTTTGGGATGGCCGGGAGAGAAGTGACAAAATTTGCATGCAGTTTGGAAGCAAAGCCAAAACTGATTATTCCTTACTCGGGATTAAATCCATTGACATGCAGGATCCTCATCTGTTTGACGATTGTGCTTTTCCCAGATTCACCAGCCCCTACAAACAAACAGAAAGAATGCTGTGATCTGTAGCCCGAACCACTGCCATCTCCCACCCAAATCCAGAGAGCGGTTACCCGACCCAACGCAGGCATTTTCGAGGACACGCCGCGCGCGGCCGGAGGAGTGGGTCCAGGTCGCAGACTGCTGCTCCGACGGCGATGCGCAGCCCGCCCTGCCTGCCCTCCGGCCCGGCGCTCTCGCGCCCCGGGCTCTGTACCCGGTCCGGCCGAGAGCCTCCGCCGCCCTCCGGCCTTACCCAGTAGCAGCAGGCGGTGGGTCGCTTTGTAAGCCAGGCGCTCCTTCTGCAACTGCTTCTCAATCTTTTTGTTGGCCTCTCGTCGTTCTTTTTCATCGACGCCCTGGTCTTCGGTCGTCTTGCTGTTGCCCAAGCACCCCATGCCTGCCCGCTTGGGTGGACGTCAGACACAGGTGGCAATTTGCCCAAAAAGCAATAAAGAGTTGTAGATGTGTGCAGATCCGGCGACGGCTTTGCTTCCTTGCTGCTGAAAGAGATGGTCTGGTCTCTCGCTGTTTTCGATCAGAACAGGAGGGTTCTTCTCCCTCCCTCTGCCCACCTCAAACTCCTAACTAACAAGGAGCAAGAAGAAGCGCGGAGTCGTGTTTTTTAAAGACAACTGTTTAGAATCATCTGCTGGATAAGCAGCACACAGTGAACGGAGATGGGCCGAGAGCGCCGGCTCCGCTGCGGCGGCGGCCAGGGTGGCGCTGCGCCCTCCGCCCGCTCGCGTCCCGCGGCTGCGCTCCGCCCGGTCTCCAGGACCCGGAGGGTGGCACGGAGGCGTCCCCGAACGGCGGCCGCGGGCACCTGCCGGCCAAACCGTGCCCCACTCTGCCCTCGCCGTCTGGTTCGAGCAACCCCCGGGCCTCCGCGCCGCAGGGGAGTGGGTGGCGGGTGCGCGAGGCCCGGGGTCTTGAGGGGTCGCTGGTGCTAGCGGTCCTGGAAGGGTGGGGAGCTGACCTAAGGGCCCGGTCGGTAGGAGGCTCACCGCGTGGGTCCGGAGCGCCGCCGCGTGGCTCGCTCTCAGCCCGAGCCCGGGAGTGCGTTTGGGCGTGCGCTCCTGGGCTCCCCGCGCTCCTGCCGCCTCGCTGCTCCTGGCGGGCGCGGACTCGCAGGATCATGCATATTCTATCAGGGAGGAGGATCCGTAAGAGGAGCACCAGTCACACCGCCTTTGTTCCGTTCATTTTCTAGACTATTCCAGCGCACCCACGCCGCCGCCTCGCTTAGCCTCTTGTCTTTGCCTCCAGCCCCCGTTTCTCCTTGGCAGTTCTCTGAACAGCTCTACTTTTCCAGAAGACACCAGGGCCTCGAACTTGGCATTGTAACCAAGGAACAGATGAGGGCAGGAGCCTGGCCCGTGCCTCCTTTACTGGGGTCCAACGGGGGTGCCCGGAGCTCCAGGCAGCCGCGTTCAAGCGCAGGGCTGGCCTTGGGCAAGAGGCAGAAGAGGTGGCTGGGCTGCAGTCTCGGACGCCAGCCCCACGCGGTGGAGGAGGTTATCTCCCCTACAAGTTGATGGGCTCCAGGCCCTAGGGGCCCTGGCACTGTGCACAGACTCATGGATTTGCCCAATTCTGTCTTCAAGTGCCCACTTTCCTTCAAACCCACAGCAGTCCCCTCGCGTTCACTGTGCTGTGGCCTCCTTCATTTGCTCCGGCGGGCCTCTGCTTTCAGTCCCTGTGGCGCTCTTTTAACGGGTCTCCTCTCCCCTGGCTCACCCTTCTTTCTCCCCTCCCCCTCCCTGCACCTCCCCTAACTGGCTTGATCCCACAAGCTGGCAAACTCATTGACTTGTGTCCCATTTAAAACCAATTCAGCACCTGTCCAATCTCAGGCCCCTTGTTAGTTCTACCAATTTCCTGCAGCCACTGCAGCCAAGAGTTAAAATAGGGAATCAGATTATACCCTGTCCTTCCTTACCTCCTGGCTTGGCCCACCTCCCTACACTGAAAATATTCTCACCAGTGTCATCAATGGCCTCCCAGGGGCTAAACCTCATCCATGGACTTTGGTCTTAACCTTCTTTGAACCCCTGTGTAGCTGGACACTCCCTGAGGCTCTATTGTCCTTTGGCTTCCACCACAAGGGCATTTGATTCCCTGCTAGCTCTCTAAATGGTGGGGGTGCCTCAGGCATTGCATAGCCTTTGTCCCCTTCCCCACGCTCCTGGCCTCCAGGCAGGGAACTGACTGCCTCCCCCATAGTTTGAAGTACTCACAGCTCTGACTTGTCCACATCACCTCTCCAGCCCAGCTCACTCTCCTGTCCACTCCAAGCACACCTCCACCTCCATGTCTCACTGGGATCCCTAATTCTACCTGCCAAGGTGAACTCTTCCCTGTGCCTGCTCCCACACTTCCAACCTGCTCCTCTCTGAATAACGACCGCTGATTTTCAAAATCAGACCATGGGAGGCATTCTTAACTCCTTTGCTTCTTGCAAACCCAGGCAGGTACTGTGTCCCATATGCTCTGTTTCCTCAAAATCTGTCCAGCCCTTTCCACCCTGTCTGCCACTGCCATAGTCTGGATTACTGTCTAACCTGGATTGGGGCAATGTCCTCCTGTTTGCTTACTCCAGGGCACCCTGAATACTGTTACCAAAGTGACGATACAAATTTGACCCTATCACTGTCCCTACCACCTACTGCCCCGCTGTGGTCCTTCAAAACCTTCAAAACACGGGTACGTGTAATCTCTGCAGCCTCAGCTCTCACATCTCTCCCCTTCCCAGTGCTACCCCATCCTTCCTTCTACTTGTGCTTCCTGAACATCTCTCTCAGTCTTAGGCACATGTGCTGCTTCTCTGGAGTACTTGTGGCCCCTTCTTCATTTGGCTACCTCCTAGTTGTCCTTCCATCCTCACCATCCCTCTGGGCCAGGGTTAGGTGCACCTTCTCTGTGCTCCATTCTCTCACCAGCTCCCTGCATTTAACAGTTTATTTACAGCTCTTTCAATACTCCACTAGACTGCAGACTCCTCCAGGGCTGGAGCTGAGTCTGTCCTCTGCACCTGCTGCACCTGTGCCCAGGTCAGGGCCTGGCCTGGAAGAGATACCTGTGAATCTCTGTTGTATGGATGAATGAATTCACGAAAGTCATAGGTAACTCCTGCTCAAGGTGTGGGTTCTATGAAAGGAATTTCATGGTCACATTTTAAATCAATAAAATACTTGTCCAGTTTAGTATTATATGTAAAATAAGAAAAAATTTTTAAAAAGCAAGAGCAATAAAATATTCTTCTTGACATAGACAGAAGTGAACATGCAATGCCATACTATATCCTGAGCTAGGTTAAAGGTTCTAGTTTGGTGGAAGGAGATTATCTAGAACCATTGTTAGGTCTCACACCTTGTGTTAACACAAATATTCACATAGAGAAATATCAACCTGGCATGTCCTGTGGCCAATGGCACAGTCAGAAGGTGAGGAATGGAATTTAAAAATAGTATAGTGAGATGTTTATAAGGATTTGTCAATTTTTTAGATGCCAAGAATTCTATAGATTGTTAGTGGGAAGAAAAGGGGACTAAAATGCACTCATTTATGCTAAGCTCCACCTCACCAAACTAAAACTTAACTTAATTATAGTTTCAGCTCTCCCAGAAACAGAATCTTAAAGGAGTCAATGAGGAACTGCCTCATCAACACTAGTTAGATAATCTGCCTGAGAGACCCCTGCCATCCCTTAAAGGAAGGTAACCTTGCAATAAACAACTCATTTTTTTTTTTTGCCTTTGTTCCTACTCCCTTCTGGCTATAAAAGTATTTCATTTTGTACAGCTCCTTGGAGTGCCTTTCTGTCTGGTAGATTGGAGGCTGCCTGTTTAGAATTGAGTTTTGTGCAAATAAACTCTTAAAAATTTTAAACATGCCTCTGTTTATCTTTAAACAGGGTTAAAGATAACTGTTCATATTTGAAATTTAATATGGATTAGATAAACAGATATGATAAAAAACATCCCATACTATACCCAGGAAGTTCATGTATCAAGAATATAATAATATATGTACTGCAAAATAGCTTCTACTAGTTACCCAGTGATTGCTGGAAGTGAGCTAAACCCTTTCCATGGAATAATTTACGTAGTATTTGCAATAATCCTTAAAGGAATTATTGTCACCATTACTTTACAGAATTTAGAGGGGGAGGTAAGGTGTATCTGGCATACAAATCCTTGTAGGCCAGCTGCAGTATCTCCACTCTACGACCTACAGTGTGTTCCACAATACACTGCTCAGCACTCTAAATTATAAATGAAATGTCCTCACGCAGCGACGATAAGAAATGCAAAGCCAATTTTTATCTAGTCTGCTATGTGGCGGCCCAAGACATTTTTTTCCCCCTTAACCCAATCACCTGGCCTTTTCAGTCTGGTCAGGGAAACAGATCCTCATTCGTGTTTCAAACCTTGGGATCAGAATCCGGAATCCCAGCAGGCTCCCCTGGAGCGGCGGGCGGGAGAGCTGCTGGGAGGCGGAGAGCACCCTGGGCCACCAGCGGGCGAGCATCTGTTGCTAGGCAACGCCGGTGCTCCCACGCGCTCACCCACCTGCAGGGACCAGGTCGCCCTGACCCCGCCAGCAGAGGGGGCGGCGGGGCGGCTGTGCCCTCCAGGGAGGCGAGGGAAGGCCCTGGCCACCTACAGGGGAGTTTGGGGTAAAAGGGCAAAGTTAAAGTGGTGTTTCCTCACTTTCGCTGATAGTTTAAGTCATGTCTCATATGTCTCAAGCATTGGAAATTATTTAAGTTTCTTTTATACTTCTGTGAATTTTGAATAATGATTTAAAAATTTGTTCTTGTTTAAGCCCCTCTGATTGAAGTTAGAAAATGTTGAAAACAACTGAACCTGTTCCCTGGTTAAACTGAACAAAATCTGTTTCCCACTTATAAGGAGGCTCTCCACAAAAGTTTGCTTAACAACTGGATGAGAAATAGTGATTCACGACAGGCTTAGAGTTTGAGAAATGACT